AGAATATATACTATATATATATATATATATATATATATATATATATATATATATATATATTCTGTTTTTGTGATCTTGTGAAAGCCTAATCACATACCTTCATACTCTCTGATTCAACATAACTTCATTTTCAAAATTGTCAATGGTTGGTCTAGAATTGGCCAATTCTAGTGTTGTTGGATATTCTTGTATGGTTGATTTTTTTTAAGCTAAAATTTTAGCTTGGCATTGAACATTTACTTATTGTATCTAATTCTAAGACTTCTTATAGAGTTATGAAGGGGAAATTCTATCTCAAAACAATCATCAAGAAAATCAAGTCTTACCCTACATAGGTTTTGGTTGACTGTCATGTATCACCGGGAAATAAATGATATTAAAGAAGTTCAATGGGATTCAAATTGCATTGTATTCAATTAAATTTACATTGTTTTTGGCTCTACTATAAATATTTTTACTTCAGTAAAACCTCAGCAGCTCATTACGCATGTGGAGCATTACTGATCTTCCAAACTCTAAAGTAATTCCACTCCCACACTCTCTCGACTGGCTTCTTTTCCTTGCATAAACCAAGTTCAAAACTCTTATCGTAGCATGAGGTAACCAACAGACCAGCACCGTCCTATATTCGATCCACTATCTATAAGTATTCTGAATAAGTCTATGAAATGTTTTAAATGTAAATATCACTGAATGGGGTTCAGCTTTGCATAAATATACCATTATACTCACTTTCCTGTGATAAGTGGGGTCCAACAATGAGGCAATTGACATCACTTTGTGTGGGCAAGTGTTAAGAGTAGCACAGTTGTAGATGCCATTTTTGGGGATTCCATTGTTAAACACTGGGGCATGTTTAGTGCTCTGGGCATGTTGAATGGTTTCTACGAAAACTGCTACAGCACTGAAAGAGCATGCTGGTGTAGCGTCTGGACCAATCAAACACACAATATATATTTTGTTAGCTATATTTAACAAATACTCTGTAACACCCCTCAGTTAACAAGCCATATGAGGACCTATGAACCCTTCCCCCCGAAATGCGTAACACCCCAGGAACGGCGAACAGGAGCTAAATATCTACAGCGGATCTAAAATATTCATAATTAATTATAACTAATTATGGTTAATTATTCATATTTCCCATGAGCTGATTCGTTACACTGGGATGAAGATATAATGTATGATTTGTGACATAATGCCCAGTGGCTGTTCAAACAGCTTTGGAAAACATTTAGGTTCTAAATCGGTCTTTTCATAAAACACTGAAAAGTGGTTACATAAGCTTCAAAACAGTTTGCAGAACTGTTTTGAAGTTGCTAGTGCTTCATTGTGTTCAAACAAAGGTAAAAATTATAAAATTATGTGCTGAGCCAATTTAAATTCGAAATGCTTCAATGAGGGGCTTTGGACATGATTATTGGACAATACCCATGATTCATGTGATGACGGTGAAGATGGCAAACTTGATGTTGATAGCAGGGCTTGCATGACTACTCATTTTCACTGGATGTACAGAAACATAGTCTACTAATGGAGAGAATATCTGCACAGCTGAGAGCTGCAGGTGAAAAGTGAAAATGTGCACCTCCGTTTCCAGATTCATGCTTGCTTTGCCATAAATGGTGCAAAAACATGCAGTGACCCACTTGCTTAGATTTTTTGCTCACAAGAATTTTGGTTTGCATATGTTGTTGATTCGCTATAAATCAACATTTCCATAATACACTTCTAAGTTTAAGGAATAATTGACCCATGATTGACTAGTCTGTATAAACACAATGACATCTAAATTAGCTGTAAGATATAGAAATAGCGGGTGAAAAATAACAGCCGTGCTGCGAACAAACCTGATTTGGAGGACTGGTTGCTGACCAGCACAGACGATGGAAGAGTAAATGGCTCCACTCGTTCCGAAGATACATTTGAAGGCCATTGATGTGTTTCATTGTCACGTGCAATAACTTTTAACAAGAGTTTAGGAGGCTTTTGTGCCGTGCTGGCAAGTAATGTGAGTATAGAGGAAAATTCAGGTTGTTCCCTGCTACCCTTTGACGAGCCTGTGCGATCTGACTGAACTACAGAAGCTGGATTCCTGTTTGTCATATGGAAGCTGCCAAACAAATGGGTTGAGGCGGGTGAGGTGGCCACATCCAAAAATGATCCAGAGGCTTCATGACTCAAGTCATCTAAAAAGAGAGAAAGAGAATAATATAAATGCATCCCTGGGCAGTCCAATCTTTTCTTTTCAGAATCACAGTTTGTTCATTTTGAGGAAAACTTTTCTACACTGTAATTTCAATCTACTATTCAGAAAGCGTTTCCTTGAGGAGATGGACACATTCAGGATTACAGCTCTCAACATGCTTTTGACAATACAAAATACTTTTTTCAACACATCAATAAATATGCTGATGCTGAAAGAATGCTGAAAAAACCTGAAAGATATTACAGTCTCATATAAGGATGCTGAAGGTGTAATTTGGGGCTAGGATTCCCATCCTCCCAAATAAATTAATTAGTCATAATTTATAGAGAACGTTCTCAGCTATCATTAGTTTGGAACCACTGTTTCAATAATGTTATGATAGTCAGTATATTTGGGATAATATTCAGAGCAATTATATTTTATAATGACATGTTGAATTAAATCAAAACAATAAACTGTATGCATGAAAAATGCATTAATCAAAGCAACGTCTAATTTTTGGATCAAAAATTGGTGACACTAGTGATCCAAAGATTAGACGTTGCTTTGATAGCCTATATATATAGAGAGAGAGAGAGAGAGAGTAATGTTGAGGTAGCTAGGGAAAACAGGCCCAGGTAGTTTAATAAAGTTACAAAACAAACAAAGAACACAAAACAGCAAGAACAAGAAACTAAGGTGACCGAGAAGTGCAAAACAAATCACAATTCTGAAAAAAAATTACAAATGCAAATCTAAAAAACAAAATAACAGTTTAGAAAACACAACAACAATTCCGAAAACATTATAACAAGTCAGAAAACACAATGACAAATCCAAGTATAGGTCTCTGCGGAACAAAAAGGGGGCATCTCTCAATTATTGGGCATTTTCAAACCGTGATAGGCGTTTTTTTAACTATCCAATCATAAAAGTACGGAAAGTCGGAGGCGCATTGTTATTTCCCTTTTTTCTTTCTTGTTTTTCTCATTAGTGCAACTGTTTTTTGTATCTAGATCACGATTAAACAATTAGTTATGCCAAGATCACAAGAAATCAAGAAATAAAAAGCAATACTGCATGCTTTAGGACTCAAATGCATGAACATACTCCTGCATACATTTTCATTGTGAATTTGACAGATGATAATTCTCGTAGCCCAGTCCAACCTCAAACCAGTTACTGACTAATGTTGGCGACTGCAATTAGAATAGGTCAAACAAATGAAAGGCTAAATAAATGTGTGTATAAAATATAGACTACAAACAGTAGCTATCTTTAATTTAGAAGTCTTTAAAAAAATCCTATTTCACCTTCTCGTGCTATAAGCTATATGTATATACTGTATATATATATATATATATATATATATATATATATATATAATAGTTGATGCATATAGTGAATAGCGCAGAACACAGCATGGGAGCAACGGTGTGAGTGAAGAGTATAAAATCTCTCACAGCTGCAATGCAATTTGCAAATGTTATTTTCTTAGTGTAAACCTTCATCATAAAGATATTGAAGTGTGGCATAACTGCAATAGTCAACAGACGAGCACGCCGTGCTGCGTTGAATCCGCAGATTAATTCAGATGACGCTTTAAATTCATTTGTATTAGCCTATACTCGTGTTTTTATAATTAACATTATTATTGTAAATGTATTAGTTGTTTATTGATATTTAAACAACCTTGTAACAATGTGAAATGATGACTCAGAAAAACCTTTAAAAAAATGAGATCAATTTATTGACCACACAGACACTTTGGCCACAACCTGATGACATATGCGACAAGTGATCCACCAAATAGAATAGCGAACATTAGCTAATAATCTTCAGAAATGTTTTGATACCATTTTCATTTCATCCTAAATATAATGTCTGATAAAGTAGCGTTTATGAGAGCAGTGCTGCGCCGCTATATTACTGCCATTCCAAAAGCGCCTCCTACTGGCAGAAAATCAATTAGCATTTTCAATAAGGCTATCTGCTGTTTTTGAACTATGTATCTTAATGCTGTTGGATATAAAGTAATTCCAGTTTAATTTTCCTAATAAAAAGACTGTTCAACTCTTAATATTTTGATACATATTTAAATACTTTAAATACATATTATCTCCGCCACACATAAAAAAATCCTAATTTAACACACCTCTTCCTTTTTTTGTAATTTGTTATTTTGTTTTCAGAATTGTGATTTGTTTTGCACTTCTCGGCCACTGTAAGAAACTAAACAGGGCAAAACAGCAACCATTATTATCAACAACTGACAAAGCATATGGGAAACACAAGAGCTATTTATACAAGGGAGAACAAAAGGGACCAATGAGTTGCTATGGGAACTAACAAGGACTGGGTGTGGTCCAATGAGTGAAATAGTCACACCCAAAACTCATGCCAATGGGCTTGTCCAGATGTATATGTCTTTATCTTAAAGACTTTAAACCACAGCCACTACCGTGGCAGTGAAGACCAAAAACAAAGTATCTGTAGACTTTACATAATGTACTCTTAAAATGAACTTACAAATGGCTTACTTACTAGGTGACATAAAGCTAACATATGTAGCTGGTTTGTGCAGTTTTTATCAATATTTTGTATCAATACAAAACACCTAAACTTCAGCTGTAGATAAATGGTAATGCATCCCTATTTTGGACAGAATATGAGTCATAGGTACAGTATGTGTGTCACCATAGAATAAATGATGAAAGATGAATGACTGATATAAAACTCACATTTATGTGGCTGATCAGAGACCCTTCAAAGGGTTTTTGCTGGCACCCATCCACAATTACTTCTTTACCAGTTCTTGCTGTTGCTCTGATATGCTCAATATCTGGCGGCTATGATTCATTCAAAGAAATCTGTAAGCTCTACATTTGCAGACTGTGTAAAGTAGCTCTTTATGAAATCCTGACTCTAGCAAAATGAACTGCTTCACATACTGAATGCTGAATTGACAAGTTCCTCTACAGCAGTGGTTCCCAAACTGGGGGGCATGGAGCTATGACAAAGGGGGAGTGACAAGGCTGAGCATAGTTTGCAAAAGAAACCTCTGCAGGGTGATAAAGACTACACTGCGTAATTATCCCTCTTATCATGCGGCCAATTGCCTGATAAGTAAATAATTGAACGCAAAATATTAATTTGACATTTTAATTACCTCAACATGACTCGAAGTATTTGCTTGAGCGCTCCGTTATCAGTTGTAGCAGTTGTAATTGTATCCATAACAGACCACTAGATGGCATGATTGAAGAATCAGAGTTGTATTGCAGGGAGGCATGTAGAAATATAAATGAACGATGCATGGTCCTGCTCTAAGCATGTAAGTTACAAATTTCCCAACCTTACTTTATTTGTCCTAGCTTTACGTGTAGAGAGAAGCATCAAGGCTAAAGTTTTCACTTTAGATTGGGTACTGCAAAAATTATTTGGAAAAATGTGCAAATATTGTGAATTCCGGTAATTTGGGACACTTTTTGCCATTGCGATGACAGCTCATAAAGGTACTAATGAGTAGTAAATGTTAAACATTTGCAGTTGACAAAAAGTTTCCACTTTAGATTGGGTACTGCAAAAAAACATGAACAAATAATTAATAAATAATTTGTTAAGATGTGTAAAAAGTAGAAGTCTACGCAACAAACGGAGACCAAATATGTGACCTTAACAGACTGTGATTATGAGTTAATGAAGTTATGAATGAATATGAAAGGTCATTATAATATATGAACTGAAGTTTAATGACATTTGTTAGCATTCATACATTAACAAATAAGCTTTTAATCATTGTATAATTTTGGAATATAATTTTAAAAAGTGCATAATCGTATATGAATTGAAAGTATAATGACGTTTGTAAACATTAACTAATGATCCGTTAAGCATTGTATAATGTTTGTTAATGTTTTATTCATAAAGCTTTTAATCATTGCAAGCCCTGTCAAAATCATTTGAAGATTTAAAAAAAATGCACAATCATATGAATTGAAAGTTTTAATGACATTTGTAAGCACTTCAATTTACATTAAATAATGATCTGTTAATCATTAGGTAATGTGTAATACAGTAAGTAACTTAGTAAAAATTTGCAAGCATATTACCTCATATTTCTAGCTATGTGACTGTATATTAATTAATGATCTGTTAAGCATTATATAATGTTTGTTTATGATTTATTAATTAAGGTTATTATAAAGTGTTAACTGTATTTTATATATTTATATTTCATATTTTGTCACTCTATTGATTCATTCAGAAATAATTTTGACTCCATACAAAATGACAAAAAAATTGTCTGGCTGCTTATTCCTGCTTGATCACCAGTCCACCAAGGATTTCAGAAGATGAAAGGCTGTCAGTAAATCACTCTCATTAAACCGTGTCCTTTAATTACCCAACAATTAAAGGAAAAAAACAGTTTTTTCATGCACCTGTCCATTTTGAGATTTTGTGCTTTTTGTTTTTTTATAAAGTGTTTTTTCAGAATAGTGAAAAGAAAACATCCAAAAGACACTGTTAAGTGTCTCTTTTATAGCACTTTATCTATTTGTGTCAATAGATTTCAATTACAATACATATTTTTAAAGGCCGTTTTCTCAAAATTTGTATTTTCTCCTAGCCATACATCTCCACTTCAGTAGCACTTACACACACCACCATACATTTTTATTCCTTTCTATATTCTGAAGGTTTTTACAGAGGGATTTGTTCATATATAATTTTACTGATTATATACAACATTTTATCCCCTCAAAAAGTGTTAAAATATATTGTTTTCTGGCTGTTCAAAGTATTTTCTGAATTATGGAGTGACAAAAAGAGATACCCAGAATTCCCTTTGTAAAAACATTTGACTCTAATATGTCAAAAAAAATTAAATAAGAATTTTGAAATGGACTTCATCCAGTGTTCAGATTTTTGTACTAGAAATGTATGCAAATTAGCGCATATTTCTATTTCTCATTAAATAATGCCTCATTTGCATATTTA